TCTTGTATGCTGGTAGATAGAATAAATGTATAAGTGGACTGTTTATTTTTATAACTTTATATAGTAATGCTAAAATAGACTAGAAGTTAGAATGGAGAAAAGTATCCAGGTATACAAAGAGAAACTTGATGGGAGATCCAGGAGGGGTATGACCTCTATCTAGACCATAACCATACTAATAGCCACACAAAATAAGACACTGAGAAATACCAGAACCATATTCACTCTGTTTGACTACAACCAGTTGCTTTCTTTTTTTCTAGGGCTGTCTGAAACAGGAATTATCAAGAGAAATATCAGTTTTTAGAATAATTAGAATTAATTTCAGGCCATGGTTCTTATGAATTGTGGTTTTCGAAGTTGGGTGTACAAAATCTTGTTTGATTAGGCCTTGGTAAAAACTATTTCAACAGAATGAATAACCCCCACTATAATACCCACATTTCTAACCTTTTGACAAAGTCAAGTCTATATTAAGTTTAAAGTGAGAATTACTTGATTAAAGGAAGAAATTATTTTCTGATCTAGATTGTACTTTTAAATTTCTGATCCACTGTTTATCTCAGAAGTTTTCTATTCCAGATAAATGGGTCAAATAGGAAATACATTTATAATTCTCTTTATAGGGAAACCTCCATTCTTACCAGAGTCTTTTGACCGAATTCTTCTTGATGCACCCTGTAGTGGAATGGGACAGAGACCAAATATGGCCTGTGGTTGGACCTTGAAGGAAGTGACATCGTATCAGCCATTACAGCGGAAACTGTTTACTGTGGTATGAAGAGATGCTTTCCTATGAAAGAAAGTTATTTTTCAATAGTTTGATGTTTAAACCACTGAGAGCAGTGTCCATAGCAGCTTTATTCACAAAAGAAAAAACATAGTATGATGATTTCACTTTATAGAACAGTAATAGTAAGGGACTCGCAGGTGGCATAATGGTTACATTGCTGGGCTCCCACATAGTCAACCAGGATTCAAGTCCTGGACTCAGGGCTTAAAACTCATGCCAAGCAAGTGCATACATGCCCCAAATCCCAAGAGCAGAGAAGGGATTGTGTTGAGGTCATCCTCTCCAGGGGATGATTTCTTGCTTTCTGTCTCTCTGGCTAGTATACACACCCTATAACAAAGATCTCTCCTCAAAAACAAACAAACAAACAAAATAGTAATAGAATAGGCAAATTTAGAGATAGTCGCACAAAAAATGTAAATGTATTGGGACCAGCAGATGCGTAATGGCTATGTTGCTGAACTCCCATGTAGTCGACCACAGTTCAAGTCCTGGACCCGGTGGCTTAAACTCAAGCCGGACACGTGTGCATGGATGCCCAAGATCCTAAGGGGAGAATGGAGGAAAAGGGATTGCAGCATGGCCATCCCCATGGGGAGTGATTTCTCACTTCTGTCTCTCTGTCTCTCTCGGTCTTTCTGGCAAGCGCACGCACCCTATAGCAAAAAAAACCTTGCCAAAAAAATTAAATGTATTGAATGTCATTGAGTTGTACGGTTAAAATGGTAAAATTTATATTATTTAAACTGAAAAGACCTAGTTTTAAATATGGGAGCTATCTTTTATGTTGATACACTTTTTTAATAATTATTTTATTTAATTCTACTTATTTTATTATTACTTTTTAGTTAGACCAGAGAGAGAGAAAGTGAGAAAGAAAGCTACCATGTCAGGAATTGAACTGTGGTTGGCCCCTAAAAATGGTAAAATTTATATTATTCAGACTGAAAAGACCTAGTTTTAAATATAGGGAGCTATCTTTTATTTTAACTCACTCTTTAAGATTATGTAGGCAATAGAATTTCTTTGCTATGTAATGAATTTGAAACATTTTACTCTGTCTTAAAAAAGAATTACTTTTTTTTTAAAAAAAAAAAGTAATTTATTATCATTATTTTAATTGCACTCACCAGAGAGAGAGAGAAAGAGAGAGGGGGGGAGTGAAAAATCAGGCTGTGCAGAAGACACTATCCTAGATGTTGACAATACAGTAGTGAAAAAACAGGCAAATAATCCCTGCTCTTATTCATGGGGCTTCTATTCTAATAGGGGAGGTGAGTAAATAAATAAGTTACATAGTAGTATGTTATAAGGCAGTACTACTGTGGACCTGTGAAGCAAACTAAAAGGAAGGATGGGAATTAGGAGTACTGGATTGGATATTTGGAGTATTACACAGAGGGATCAGTAAAAGCATTGCTGAAAAGGTAAATACAAGCAAAAGCAAAGATAAGAATACAGTGAAGGGGGCTGCCAAGTGGTGTGGTGGTTGAGGATGCTGGACTCCCACATGATCTGATCGTAGTTTTCTTTAGGCAGTTCAGCTGTTGAAACCAGGGGGTATTCTGGTCTATAGTACATGCACTGTAACACTGGCTGAAAATGAAGAACAAGTTGCATGGGCCCTCACAACATTTCCTTGTCTTCAGCTTCAGCCCCAGGTAAGAGTACTTTTATTTTTCTCTGTAATCTGATATATCCCTGAAACAGGTATAGCAATAAACACAGGTCAAGTAAAACTTTTTAAACAAATACTGTAATAAACAAGCATGTGCTCTAATTAGATCCATTTTAGACTTCCTATAGATAATTGGCATATCCTGACAGTTTTTCCTCATCATTGCTCTTTGCCACTTATTACATTTAATCATTGTACAACATGGTTTTTCTCAGTATACAACATGGTTTTTCTCAGTATGTATGCAGTCCATGTCGATCAAGTCAAAGATATTACCATTAGGTAATACAATACATATACCAGTAGGTCCTCGGGAAAGTCATGATGTGTTTTCTAGGTTTTTCTAAGGAAAAATGCATGATATCTTTCCCGATGACCCATACATCATCAACAGACAACTTTCCATTCTTGTGCCCATTAAGGTTTTTCTTCTTCTTTTCCCCTGAGTTCCTCCCTCCCACCTCCCACCACCCTTACCCTACTATACAATCTCTGGTATCTATCTACACTTGCCCAACTTCCTGCTATTACACCTTCCAATTTTTCAGTTGTTGCCAGAGTACAGACATTCAGTGCATATTGAGCAGGGACATACAGTGTCTGTCTTTCATAGCCTGGCTAGATTTACGTAGCTTTCAGTCTTCCATATTCATCCACTATGTATCAAATGACATGATCTCATTGTTTTTTATGGCTAATATTCCATAGTGTATATGTGTCACATTTTTTTTTTTTGAAGAGGTTTTTTTGCTATAGGATGCATATGCTCGCCAGGCAGACAGAGAGAGCTAGAGAGATAAAAAGCGAGAAATCACCCACCCCCCAAACCCCCGGGGATGGCCACGCCGCAGTCTCTTCTCCTCCATTCTCCTCTCGGGATCTTGGGCATGCACGCACATGCGCCCGGCATGAGTTTAAGCCACCGGGTCGGCACTCGAACCGCAGTCGACTATGTGGGAGTTCAGCGACATAGCCATTACACTAACTGCTGGTCCCTATGTGTCACATTTTTACAATCCAGTCATCTGTTGAACATTTTGGTTGTTTCCACTTTTTAGTAATTATAAATAATGCTAGAATAAACATGAATGTGCAGGTGTCTTTCTGTTTTCCTATCCTTTGAGTAGATACCCAAGAGTGGCAATACTGGGTCATATGGTAATTTTATTTGTAGGTTTTTGAGGAATCTCCATATTGTTTTCCACAGTGACCGTACCAATTCACTTTTCCACAACGGCATAGTAGGGTTTTCTTTTCACCATAGCCTAACTAGCATTTATCATTCTTTATTTTTTTAACCATAATCATTCTGACTGGGGTTAAATGGTAGCTCATTGTGGTTTTGAATTGCATTGCCCTAATGATAAGAGCATATTGGGCATTTTTCATATGCTTTTTGGCTGTTCATATGTCTTCCTTGGAGAGTTGACTGTTCAGCTCACTGATCCATATTTTAATTGGATATTTGGGGAAGGGAGGTAAGCTGCTTGAGATCCCTGCATAGTCTGATTATCAGCCCCTATTTGAAGCATAGTTTGTGAATATTTTCTACCATTCTGAGGGTTATCACTTCATTGTAATTATTTCCTAGGGTTTTTCTCCCCATGTATTTGAGTTCTCCAGTGTTTGGTATATAAATATTTATAAATGTTGTATCTTGGTGTATTAGTGTTTTTAAGTACTATATAGTGTCCTTCTTTGTCTCTTCTTATGGTTTTTGCCTTGAAGTCTATTTTTTCTGGTGTTCAGTATAGTGACTCTAATTGTTTTTTGGTTTCTATTTGCATGAAATGTCTTTTCCCAGGTTTTCACTTTTAATCTATGTATATCTTTATTAATGAGGTATATTTTTTGTAAGAAGCATATAATTCATTCAGTCAGTCTGTCTTTTAATTGGAGAATTTAATCTATTAACAGTCAAAGCTATTATCAAAATTTGTGGGCTTATTCTTATTTTGTGTTCTATTTGTCCCTTTCATTTTCCTAATATAGTAGCCCTTTGTATTTCTTGAAGAGCTGGTCTGGTGTTGGTAAATTCTTTCAGTTTTAGTTTGAGAATAATTTTATTTCTTCTTCCCATTTGAAGGATAATCTTGACAAGTATAGTATTCTTGGTCGAAATATTTTTTTCTATTGGCATTTTATATATGCCTTCCCATTTTTTCCTGGCCTACACCATTTTGGTTGAGAAGTTTGATAGGTTAGCCTTTGTGGGTAACCTAATGGTTCTCTCTTGCCATTTTTAGAATCTTGTCTTTGTCTTTAATTTTTACCAGTCTACTGATAACTATTATGTTCCGTGAGAAGGATCATCTTATGTTGATTCTATTTGGAATACTTTCTCTAGATTCTGAAAGTTTTCAGATAATATTTCATGAAAGAAATTTTTCTACAACTTTTCCAGCCTCTGCCTTCTGTAATACCTATTTTATGCCTATCTAAGTATTTAACAGAATCAAATATTTCCCATATGTTATCTTCATTTTGTTACCTTTTTCATTCTTTTTGGTGGTTTGGACTATGTCAGAGGTTTTTTTTTTTTTTTTTTTTTTTTTTTCTAGATCAGCAATTCTTTTCTGCATGGTCTAATCTGCTTTTAATGCTTTTAAGGGAGATTTTTATTTCTTGGGTTGTATTCCTTATCTCCAGAAGTTTTGTTTGATTCTTTTTTAGGGTGTCTATGGAATTCCTCCTTCATGTCATAGAATGATTTTCTCAATTCCTGGAATTGATTGTCCATTTTTTCTTACATTTCATTGAGTTTTAAATTCTGTTTCTGACATTTTGAATTGTTTTGTGTTGTCTGTTGTTTGTGAGGAATTACCGTGTTCCTTTTGGGGAGAGATAGTTTCTTGTTTTCTCATATTTCTTGTGTCTCTATTCTGATGTCTAGGCACTTGGTGAAGTACTTAGTATTTCCTAGTTTTTGGAATGGGTTCTGTAGTGCCAGGGAGAATAGTAGCCCTAAATCCCCGGTATATCCCTGGCGAATGGCTATGTTTTCCAGATCAGAGCAGGGCTTGCAAAGCCTGTACTTGATACAGTTCTGTGAGGTTTAGAGGTGCTTTGCCATGGGTGGCAGCAATTGGATTGAGTAACTGTTTCCTTGGACTTGAAACTGATGGAAGAGTACAAATTTGCTTTCCTGGGACCAGCAGTTAGTGTAATGGCTAATGTCGCTGGACTCCCCTGTAGTCTACCGCAGTTTGCGTCCCGGACCCGGTGGCTTAAACCTCACGCCGGGCGCATGTCCATGTGTGCCCAAGATCCCGAGAGGAGAATGGAGGAGAAGGGATTGCAGCATGGCCATCCCCCCTGGGGGGTAATTTCTTGCTTTCTATCTCTCTCTGTCGGCCTGGCTGGCAAGCTCACACACCCTATAGCAAAAACCTCTCCAAAAAATAAATAAATAAATAAATTGCTTTCCTGCCAGGCAGGAGTAGTGTTCAAATTCTTCAGCCTCTGTGAAAGTGAGAGTACTGTTAAGTCCTCTTCTCCCTCCAGGCTGTGGAAACCTGATTGTAGACAGAGTTCCACCTCTTCATGGGACTCCATGGAGGTGTAGTTCTTTTGCCAACTTGGAGCAGGGTAGTCCAAAATTTTTTTGGAGCTGCTTGCTCTTACACCACCCTACAGTGTGTGTTAGCTCCATGCCAGTTTTTTTTGTTTCACCCTCCTGACTCCCCCACATCTAGCCAGGATCCAGGAAAAAACCTATAATCCATCCACTCAGATATCCAGACCCAAGAAATACAAAGGACCCCACCTAGAATCAATCTAAGATCTTCTCCAAGGCACATTGTAGCCAGATTGACCAAAACCAGACAGATACAAGATACTAAATTTGGCAAGAAAGAAATGTCAAGTTACTTTCAAAGGATATACCATAAGGCTAACATCGGACCTCTCACTGGAAACAATGCAAGCAAGGGAAGAATGGGAAAATATAGTCAAAGTGTTAAGTGAAGAACAATTTCTACCAAGAATACTATACCCAGCAAGATTATCTTTCATATGGGAAAAAAAGACAAAAACATTCTCAGATAAAGGGAACCAGCAGTTAGCGTAATGGCTATGTCGCTGGATTCCCACGTAGTCGACCGCGGTTCGTGTCCCGGACCCGGTGGCTTAAAACTCACATCAGGTGCATGTGCGTGCGTGCCCAAGATCCCGAGAGGAGAATGGAGGAGAAGGGATTGCGGCGTGACCATCCCCCCTGGGGGGTGATTTCTCGCTTTCTCTCTCTATGTCTCTCTCTGTCTGGCGAGCGCACGCGCCCTACAGTGAAAATCTCTCAAAAAAAAAAAAAAAAAGAAAGGCAAAAACATTCTCAGATAAACAAATCCTGAAAGAACTTACCAATACCAGACCAGCTCTCCAAGAAGTGCTGAAGGGGGACCAGCAGTTGGCATAATGACTGTGTTGCTGGACTCCCACGTAATCTATCGTGGTTTGAGTCCTGGACCCAGTGGCTTAAACTCACACTGGGCGCCTGTGCATGTGTGCCCAAGATTCCAGGAGGAGAATGGAGAAGGGATTGTGGCATGGCCATCCCCCCGAGGGATGATTTCTTGCTTTATGTATCTGTTTTTTTGGCAAGCACATGTGCCCTATAGCAAAAAAATACCCAAATAAAATCAGAAGTGAAATTTTAAACATTACAACTAATACAACAGGCATATAAATGTTTATTACAAACTATTATGAATAACTATTACACCAACGATTGAAAACCTATTATGAATAACTATTACACCAACGATTGAAAACCTATTATGAATAACTATTACACCAACGATTGAAAACCTATTATGAATAACTATTACACCAACGATTGAAAACCTATTATGAATAACTATTACACCAACGATTGAAAACCTA